GTTAATAAAATTATGGCTGTCATTAAAAAACAAGAATAGGGAACACTTACCTTTTCTTTGAATAGAAAGATTAGGGGATATTAAATGACACGAACAAATGCCACATTCTGAGTCCAGAGAATAGTTGTTCATTGCAGTCTTCAGTCTTGTCATTGCCACGTAGGAATTTTTTTAATTTTTTAAGTCTGGTTTTTACCCAATGGAGTAATCTGTAGGTGCTCTTATATTGTCAGTCGGAAGTCTAAAGGATGATGGTGCTTTTCAGCTAGACCTGCTTACAATTCATCTGTCTCTTTGGAATTTAAGTGAGTTTTCATGCAAGATTATAAAATGAAAATTAGGCTAATTGAGCCAAAACTAGCTATTTACATATAAATGGTCCAAAACATTTTCAACTACCTGCATGCTAGTATATTAGAATAGCATTTGTGTGGCCTTTCTCAAGTAGCAGTAAGCACTAGCAAGTTAGTAATTCAGTCACTGTTTTTAGACAGAATTACTAGTTTGCTTTTTTCTCGTGTGAAATCACAGAAAACCAATTGCCTTCTTGATTGCATATAAATGAATGCTTCATACTCATCCTGCATCTCTAAATCAGGAGTTTTGTTAATACCCTTCTATTTTTACATTCCAGGAACTTCACTTGGAATGTTTGCTTGCTCATTTTCTGCGTTTTCTGTAAAAATTCCCAAATGGTAGGTCACTTGTGACTTACCGAGTCGATGCTGGCAGGTCACATTTTGATATCTCTAGGCATAAAAAAAAAAAAAAAAAAGTTCTTAGAAGTAATTATGCAGTTTGATCCCATCAGGTGAAATGTAGGATGTCAGCAGGGGTTAGACAGGTGTTTATTATCATATAATAATGATAATAATATTATCCTGTCCGTGTGGGGAGCCCCAGTAACCACGTGGAGGGTTAAAACAAACACTCGTGTCTGACATGCAGTTGAGGCTCAGCTCATGGACATCCCTACCTCGGTTTAGATGCTTCCTATTTTGGACCTCAGACTAGATCTGTATCCCACTCACATGATAACACAGTACACAGGCTCAGTCATTAGAAGGTGGGGTTGCTGTGACCTGGTGATCAGAGGTAGGGGCAGGAAGGTTTTCTCAGGAACAGGGATCATGCACCCTGAGCCATGGCCTTGGCTCCTCACCGATCTTGCAAGTCCTCCCCTTACGACATAGAGCACCTGCTGTAAAACAAAACAAACAAACAAAAAGAAATACTTCTGAGTGTTAAAAACACCCAAGGGTTCTGTTCACTGCTTTTTTTGACTGTTCTAGGCACTTGTTGGTGATAAGACATTGGCTTTTCGACTGATGGATGCGGAGATGTACACAAACATGAGCGTGCTCATGCCTCTTACGCCGGTGATTGATCGTGGGATACAGCTTCATAAAATGATTCGTCTCATTACTCATGCACTCGGAGGGGAGAGCTATCTGAACTTCATGGGTAAGTAATCTTGGGAACAAGTCTCTCATTTTCTCATCTGCAGAATGCTTGGCAGGGAAATAAAATGATCTGACATCATCTTACATCCACGGTATTTATCACAATGCTGAAGTTTAAAGCATAAATGCTTTTATGGATTTAGTACAACAGGTGATAGGCATTGTTTTTCTGTCTGTAAGATGTATTATAAGACAAGAAAATAAAATCAAGATGGTTCCTAACTGTAACAGAAATAACTTTTAAAAATGTGGTAAGCTCTTGTTTCAGGTTACTTTTATTTACAACTCAGGTATTTTAATTGTTGTTTTGCACGTTTCTCAGGTGGTGAGCCATGGCTCACGCCGTTGGGTTGTATTTTGTCTCTATTCTTTTACTTTCTTAAACTTTTTGGTATCACAGTGAATTTACTTAAAATAGCTCGTTAGTGTCGTGTTTATTTCAGTTATTAATTGTCAGGAAGTACTCTGGGATCAGTTGATTTGTATTTCATTGCTTTTAGTGAAGAGCAGAGACAAATCACAGAGATAGGAGGCACATTGTCCTATCAAATCACAGAAACTGTAAGAGCTAGTAATACTTTCTTTTTGTCCATAAGCTGTAAAACTCAACTGTTGACTTTCCTCTTAAGCACAGTTTCTACAAGAAAGTTCAATTGTTACTCATTTAATCAGCCAGTTACAGTTCCATGTAGTCATCTTAAAAGTGGAATATTGTTCTTAGTCTAATCCAAAATTCTGAAGCTATTTATGCTTGCTGCTCTTTACCACATGCATTCCTTCAAGTTCTTTGCAAAACAGTTCTTACTTTATAGTAAAAATCACAATTTCATCATGTGATGTGAGAAGTTCTGTATAGCAGTTGTGATAGTCTCATGGGGGAAATAAAAAGGCTGAAAGTCTGCTGTAAAATCACCATTTCAGTTTTCTGATTATAAACCACTTGAAAAGTATAGAACTTTTAACACCGTATTTTCTTTTACTTTTGTTAGTAAACGATTTGTTTTAGAAAGTCAAAGTGGACAGTTGGATGTATATTACCCTTCTTCCATGATACTATATTTGACAACATTTTTTTTCTGATTAAAAAACTAGAGAACATAAGGCAGTGGTGACATTGGATTTAAGCATGGCTGTACAGGTACTTGTTCTCTTTCCTGGTATTAGAAGAAAACTCAAAAAAAAATCATATTTGTTGTCTTAAAAAGAACTGAAGCAACTTCAGCACAGAACAAATTAATTCAGTATATGCAACACTAGTAAAACTATTATTTCCAATAAAATATAGATTTTTTTTCTCAAGTGAGTGAAGAGGAGTTAATGAAATAAATATGTATGAAGTGTACAATCAGGCACCAAAATGTGCAAGGTGTGAGGTGCATGCTTCTGTTCAAATTAATGATACTGCAACAGTTAAGGAAGCAGGTGTTTAAAATATACTGCAGCTACATTGCAGATGTCTTTGCCCCAGATTGACTTGGTAAGATTAGAAAAATAATCGGTAATTCAATGTGGCATGTTAAATCCAGTGTGTCAATGCAGGTTGATTGAGCAATTAATATTGGATGTCGTTGAGTACTGCAAATGTTTCAGTAACCACATAATAGTTTGCTATATGTAAAGGTGAAAGGATTGTAATAAATGTTGGCAGAGGAAACATATAAATTCAGAATGCTGCTAACCCTGTGTACTTAAAATGTGTGTTTCATGCTGCTATCTAGTTAAGCAAATACAGTGACAAACTTCCAGTTTTGTGTGAATGCTGAGGGTGAGAAAGATAAGCCTCGTGCAGGGAGGGAGAAGGAGTGGGAATCTTATTTCACAACACCTGGAGAAGACATTCCAGGTGCCTCTGTGCTCCCCTAGGTCCTCCCATAAGCCTCTTATACCTTCTTTTTCTGAAAATAAAGACAGTCAAGCAACGCTCTGCTTTCTTAAGGCTCTGCTCGCCTTGAGGAAAAACAAACTGCATCTATAAAATATTGTATCAGAAGTAGAAATTTGTGTTCTCAAATGTATCCTGGAACTTCTCTTTGAAGATCTGGAATAATATTTAATTACAGGTGTGTTGGAGTAACATCTGTGTTTCATACACATGTGCAGATCCCTGTTGAGGGGAGCTGTGCCCTGTTGAACATCGAACATTGGTTGTGGTTTTCTCCCCTCTCTCTCACTCTCCTCACTGGGTGGTTCTCTGTCCTTCTTACCTGTATCTGCAGGAAACCACTGCAAAAATCCTGAAAGTTGTAGCTCTTGTTTTTCATGTTTGAGTGTTTAATTTTCACCAAAGGCTTTTATTTTTCTTTCCAGTTGCTTTTGTATGATGGTATTGGCAATCACTGATGTATGCAAACTTAAATGTGAATAGGAAAGTTTTGTCGTTTCAGTAAATTGGTTTGCTTGTAACAAAAAAAAAACTTGGGGAGCATTCTTTCCTCCAGTCTGTGCTTTGGTTTTCTGTGCAGCTTTACAAGTGATCTCTGGGGCTTCCTGTGTGCATCTGGCATGGAAAACTTCACCTAGAAAAGGAAAAACTCCCTATGCTTGGCTGAAAAGGAGAATAACAATGATAAACGTCCTGCTGTAGTGAATGAAAACTCTGGAAGGCCGGATTGTTTCATAGCAAACAATAATAACAGTAAAAAATCAGCAATTGTTCTAAAACTTGTGCTGTGTCTAGATTATCTTCTTTCAGTGCAAGTAGAGCTCAACAATCCCAATGTAGGTGTCGATTGTTCAACCCCACTCTTGTTTTAAACAGAGATTTTAATACTGAGACTGCCCTGTTCTGGTCAGAAGATGTCAGGGGACTTAGGAAGTTACAAACAATTCCAAGTTCTTCTGCACAATATTTTAGTAGGAGCACATGTGCTGCTTCTTTAGGGGTTTCTCTCTTCATATCTAATATTCCATGAAGATGTTTCCTTAAACAGTGCACATTGGATTGTCTGAACTTAAGTGCACTTAGGACCTCAAGCAGTTAGAGTATGTGTCTACATTAAATAGTGAAAGTAATCCTTTAATTGTAAATAATATGGAAAAACACCTCTGTTCCTACTCAAGTATTTTTCTTTGTAGTTGTAGTGATATTGAAATACAATATGCATCTAATTAACTTAAAACCAGAAAAGTACGTGAAAAATATTTAGGGCATATATTTCTGCCCTCCCTAATATTAGGATTTGAAAACAAATCCAGAATGAAAACCCTGTATTTGACTAAACTTCCTAATTGTCAATTTTAGCCCTCTACGAAATAACAGAGGAGCTTGAGAATTGTCTTAATTCCTCAGTCACTAAACAAGGACTAATAGAAGTTGTTATAATACTTCCAGAATATTACAGGAGTCTTCTGATCTCAGCTTGAAAATAAAGCAACCACTGTTGTTTCCCACTGGACAACGTTTAACTTCAGTGTAAAGACTCACACATTTCCTGAAAATGATAGTTGAACGTACCACTGCAAAACTGCTCTGTCTGTATATCCTTCCATTTTCCTTTGCCTTCATTTTCCAACTTACTCCTGAAGAAAAGCTCTAGACAACTGTAAATTGTACCTTTCCTTGAAATTTTCTGTTTTCTTCCTCATTTCAACCCTGCAGGACATGTGATAAAGCTGTGCCAGTTCTGTGAACTTGTTTCCAAGTTCTCTCCATATCTTGCAAGGTACATCTGCTTGTCTAGATTTTTGCCTTGAATAGACATAAGATTCAACTCAAGGGGCCTTAAATAGCATTTTGGGTCCTTGAGATCCTTCATAGCACAAATACTTCCTGTTTTATGCCACTATAGAGTCGTTCTTTTCAGCTTGCTAACAAGAATTTTCTTGCTTCCTTTTTCATTTGAAATTGGCTTAAACTCGTATCTATTGATTTAAATGGAGATTAGTTCTTACATATACCTCTAGCACTATTTTCACTACTCTTCTATAGTAAAACAACTCTTAATTAGGACTCCAGAGACCAAAACAACTTTTGAGATTGTATAGATATATATCTCCATATATAGCTAGATGGCAATTTGCAGTAACCAGAACATTTTTTGCCAACATGAGCATTGACTGATGGTGTTACTGGTTGGGTTGACATTCACCTGTTTCACTAATATCAGATTTGTTAAGCTTCCTCTTTCATACTTGGTAGATTATTTACACAGTAGTTTTACGCACCTTCTCTAGTCATCAGGGTTTTTTGCATGCATCAGAATAGTTTCTTCTCTAATGCTTTGGTGTGATGAGACCTTGTTCTTTCTTTACCCTTAAAAATAAAGGCTATGTATCATCTATTCCTCTGAGTATTTTAGAGAAATTTGGATTTTTTTTTTTTTTTGTTTATTTACTTTTAAATTATGGGATTTCAGAACAGAAGGCGTTTGAAAAAGTATTGACAAACAAGAATAGGAATTGTATCAGTAGCACGAATATCAGGGAAAGGAATGTACCATTTCCTTTAAGAGTATCGATTAAAAACCTGAAATAAAAATTATACAGCATAACTTAAAATGTAAATGGGAATGTTGCTTTAGACAGAATCTAAACTACTTCTATTACTACCTATTCTAGATAAAAAAGAAACTGTATCAGGAACGAGGAAAATTAGCTTAAACCTAAGAGAGTTTGGTTCTTCTAGGCATTTTGCAAGCAAATCACTTTTTTTAGACTTTTTTCTGCACCCTTTTCAATGCCTGTTACTCCTGTGCATTGGTTACAGTGTGGCTTTTTAGACTGTGACCTAAAACGTGGCCTTGCACGAGCAAATGCTCTTCAGACTTGGTCGCTTTGGTCAACTCCTCCTGATAAACAGCTTTGAAGTGCTCAGCTGGTGCAAACTGCAGCTTTGGGAGAGGCACTTTTGAAGTCATCCTTCTTAATGCTTACCTGGTGGAGCTGACAAATGTGCTGCCAGTTCTGGTGGGTGCTTTAATTTCATGGCAGCCTGACAGAAAACAACTGTATTCATTTTAAGGTAGGAAACAAGAAGGGTGTCATCTGAAATCTTACCTGCAG